AAACTACACACAAATGCAACCTAAAATAACCGGTTTTTCATAGTTTATAAAAAGTGGAAAAATAAAGTCCTAATTACATTTATCTAGGATTTTCTTATAAGTCTAGTAAGTTAATCAGTTCCCTAGCCAGACCTAACCTGTTTTTGACTGGAATTGTATTTGACTGGCAAATGTATAATTTCCTATAGCAACAGTTTTTATAATTCTTAAATAAACAAATGGACGGGCACACCCAAACCTGCCCTGTCTGATTACTTTCAGCTAAATGGAAGGAAGTAATCTAAGATCTATTTCAGGTCTTCACCTGAATGGTAAGTAAGCAGAGAAGAATAAAATTAAGGATACAACCTACAATTCATATTCTCTTTAGGACTACAGATATTAGAGAAAACTAAGCAACATTTTGGCAGAAATGCAGAAAGAATTCAGAAGTGATAAAAGGGATTGAACTAGAGAGATGACTTGTAAGGTCCTTTCCCCACTCTAAATAAACATGTTCACGCTTTTACAGCAAGATTCAGAATATAAATTTAACTTAAGAGCTTAGGACTATTTTGATGAGTCAGCACTACAAAAAGAACCAGTTATAAATGGTCTCCAGATAAAAAGACTGTTTCTGAGAAACTTGGAACAACATTTCACTTAAAAGTATGAATCATTAGAGAAGTGAAGAGTATTTTAGCTGAGCATATTATAGAAATGTCAAAAATCTTAAACTTGTATTATCTTGTTTCCAGTGCTTTTCAAACTATTTTACACTTGAAGGTCAGTTGAAAAGCTAAGTTCATTTTATATACACTAAAAATTTCACATTTTATTGTTATAGTATGTTAGCATTTGGGGGAAAGGGGATTAGCAGTCAGAGCCATTAATATAAAATATATTTTAAAGTAAATTCCAAATGTTACTGATTTAAGAATAAATTGATGATTAATTTATTAGGTACTGGTAATTTTTCAGCCTGCAAATATCAGTAATCAGTTTTTAGTATACTACATTGGAATGGAAGAAAAGACATTTTTTTAAAAAGAAAAAAGAACTCTGACATTTGAAAAAATTATGTTAACTTCTATCAGCTTCAGAAAATATGTTAAAAAGATTTTTCATTGTTCGTCATAACTGGTAGGGTTATTGCTTATGCAGTTATCGCAACATTTAGGATACACCTAGAATCCTAGGATAGAATTCTCAGGTAGAAAGTTGGATAAATCTAGTTTCACTTCAACTAAAGATAACAACATTGCAGTTGCCTTCAGTGCTTTGTCACAAGTCCTAACCACTTGCTCTGCCAGTACACCCATTTTCTTCTTAGCTACTCATAAGTTTAGCTCAAACTCCACCTCAAGGATATACACATGGTCTCCTATTCTGAGTCTCCAAACATCCCACATTCAAGATATTTCCTATCCCAAATGGATTTTAGGTGAAAACCGAATGCCAAGGTTATACCATATTACATATAATAAAGTCTTAACTTAGAAGTTATAATACCTCTAATTTACCAGGTTTTTAGTTCTTTTTTTTTTTGTATACTATTAAGAGTTGGTAATTTCAGAATCAACTAAGAATTAAAAGAACACCAAAATATGAACAAGAAGTTGGTTTTACACAGAATGTACATTGGTTTTGAAAATAAGACAACTAATCAAATGCTATTATTTAAGGGGTATGTGGAAAGTAAGTTTGTGAGTAATAACTAAAAGATTATAGAAACCTATTTTAAAAGTTACCTTAACATAAAAACCAGGCTCCTTTTATTTTTAGCATGTCAAAGAAAGCACAGAACAAAATGCTTTAATATTAGATCATTATGAAATGTCTGATTTCGAATCAAATGTGTAGTTTATTATATCTCAAACAAGCAGCATACAATTAATCAAAGTATGTGCCTAGACTACCTATAGACACAGTTTTGCCATCTGAACAGTAGCTTGTTTATGCCAGCAGCAAAGAAGCCTAGAAAGCAAGTGGCAATGAAATCACGAGAAGTGTTTTCCACAGTTTGTGGAGAACTGAGTATTTTTCCTTACAAGAAGTGGTCCAAAGCCTGGAAATGAAATCACGAAAAGTGTTTTCCACAGTTTGTTGAGAACTGAATATTTTTCCTTACAAGAAGAAGTGGTCCAAAGCCTGAAAGTGGTAGTCCGTCGGTGCAAGGTCTGGAGAATACGGTGGATGACAGAGATGCCAAGTCCAGCTGCTGTAGTTTGAGCAGCATTGTTTGTGAGACATACGGTCAAGCGTTGTCTTGCAAGAGCATTGGCCTGTCTCTGTTGACCAATCTGGGTTGCTTAATCCCAAGCATCCTCATCATTTTGTCCAATCAAGTGCAGTAGACATCCGCCGTAATCAACTGACCAGGTTTCCTGAAGGTATAGTGGATAATACCAGCCATGGACCACCAACAGACACCATTAGCTTTTTTTGATGAATATTCCGTTTTGGACTGTCTTTTGGCACTTCACCTTTATCCAACCACCATGCAGAATGCTTGTGATTGTTCAAAAGAATCCGATTTTCATCACATGTAACAATACAGTGTAGAAATGATTCACCTTTATGTCGTGACACCAAAAAGGGCAAGCTTCAAGATGATTTCTCTTTTTTTTTTTTTTTTGAGACAGAGCCTCACTGTGTTGCCCTGGCTAGACTGCCGTGGCGTCAGCTTAGCTCACAGCAACCTCAAACTCCTGGGCTCAAGCGATCCTCCTGCCTCAGCCTCCCGAGTAGCTGGGACTACAGGCATGCGCCACCATGCCCGGCTAATTTCTTTCTATTTTTAGTAGAGACGGGGTCTCGCTCTTGCTCAGGCTGGTTTCGAACTCCTGAGCTCAAACAATCCGCCCGCCTCGGCCTCCCAGAGAGCTAGGATTACAGGCGTGAGCCACCGCGCCCGGCCTATGATTTCTCTTTTGATGCTCGTTTAATTCATTTAAAAAAAATTCAAATAAAAAAGTATACTAGGAAAACAGGAAAAACAAGCTAAAATTTTAATTGAAACATCTCAATGACAAAGTCAATTATGAAAAATAATAAGTAAAAAGTAAGAAGGTGACAGCATGTCCCTGTAAATCTTTCTCCTTTGGGTCTTATATTTGAAGACAACTATTTATTCTTCTAGTGATTTAATCTTCAGGGAAACTATCAAAAATATCAGAAGGTAGACTTGTCTACACAGGAAATGCAAATTCCAAAAAAGGACCCGAACATATTAAAAATACCCTGCTCTTTGTTACTAAATAGCAAATAACTCCTTGTCAAAAAAAAAAAAAAAAAAAGCAGGAACTAAAAACTCCCAATTCTACATTTTTATTAAATGTTCAAAACCTACATTTGATGATCAGTGGGCAATCTGTTCTAGGATTCCTAATAAACTTCATCAAGGGACACACGTTAAATAAAATTCTGAATTATACTTAAAGGCCCTCAGATATCCTTTCATAAATGCACAAAGATTATCGCTGGATGCTAGATCCTTTTATTGGAACAATGGAAGGGGGAAAATGATAGATTAAATGTTTTAAAAACCACCTGCTGGGAAATCAAGAAGTAAACTGGAGAGCTGCAGTCAGCACCATGTAAGTAAGGTAAGGCATATAATTTCAGAAACACTATGAAGTTTTGCAATTATTTTAAAAAAATAAGAAATTGCCAAACACAAAGTACTTCAATGGTATACTGTGTATTACGCTGTGTACTCTTTAAAACAAAACTGAAATAACTCACCACAGGTAGGCTGACTTTGTGTTCTGAGCGTATATCCCCCAGGCCAGGCCAGCTTTCATATGATGTGAAAGTAAATAATTATGATAAAACCATACATTTAGACAAACTTGGTGAAATAACGGTGTAAGGCGAAAATATTAACCTGAATTACTGAAAATTTTAAAGGAGGCCCATCTTAAAAGTCAAATACCAGGGAACCATGATCTGGAACTGTGTTCTTTCTTTCTTCCCTAGGAAACACAGATAATGGTTTAAGTGGAGGCCCTAGCCTCTCCTAGGCCCTTTCCCCCCCCCCCAAACAACTCCCAACTGGGGCAAACTCAGAGTCATCAAGGATCAATCAGCAGCGCAACTGCAAACTCATTACAGTCGCTGGCTGACCACAGAGTGAAAACAGATGCTGTAGGTGGAAAAAAGAAAGGCAAAAGGACAAAACCACACTATCTCATTCTCTCCACCCCACTCTACCCTACTCCCATCAAGAAAATTAAAAGAGGACTAACTGGATATTAGGAATAACCAAGAATAAAGCTCTTCTTTCGAACTGAAAAATAAAAGGAAAATTCACAATTGTTCTTTTTTTTTTAAGAGACTTCAAATAACTAATGTGAAGAGGGCCTTCTACTTTTGTTTTTCAAGCTTCACCTACAAATCCAACCCCTACATAGAAAGAAACAGTAAGAAAGTAATCAGACAAAAGATCACCCACGTGCTTACGCCTAAAGTTGGCAAGAACTGTATCTACAGTAAGGCTTCCACCGTAACAAATGTATTCATTTCCTCGCCCATCTTTCACTTGTACTGGGGAAGAACACAAAACCTAGCCCAAATAGTAACATCTATCAGTTTCAAGAGAAGGTCATTTTAAAAGCGCACTTCCGAGTGCGAACATATCCTCTTACATTACCACCTTCTTGGGCCAATGCCTGCCCTACTTTAAATGTTCCCCTGCACCTACTTTGCTAAGCACCAAGACAGACAGTGACACCAGACCCGGGCGAGGGGCGGCTGATCCCACCGGTAGCCTCAGAACGATGTTGCTACAGCTTCCTAGAGATCTCGGCGGACCTGCGAGGAAGCATCAGGCCAAACCCTAACGTGACACTTCCCCCACAGTGGAAGGGCGGTGATGGCACGTGTTTCTGAAGCTGGATCCGCCAGGCAGGCCGGAGCGATCTAAACCACCTGGGAGGGGACGGGTCCGACCTGGGAGGCCCGCGCGCCCGCGAGGGCTCGGGCGGACGCAGAGGCGCCGAGGGCGGGAAGTGCCTCACCTGCACCCCGGTGTAGTTCTCGAAGAAGAAGAGCACCATGCGCTGGTAGATGCAGTAGAGCCGGTCGTCCACCGCCTGGTAGAAGCGAGCGGGCAGGAAGGCGGAGAGCAGCCGCCAGACCCCCCAGGCCAGCATGTAGGTGGGCGCCGTGCCCAGGAGCACGACGCTCGGCAGCAGGTAGCGCATCGAGTAAGTGTGGAGCACTAGGGACAGCAGCATCTTCCCGGCTCGGCGGCCGAGGGCTCCGCCTGCTCTCTGCGCCCGGGGCCCTCAGCCGCGGCCAGCCGGGCCCGCCGCCGCCCCTCACCGCCCGGGCCCGGGCCGCCCAGACTCCCAGCCCGCCGCCCGCTCCCGACCCCCGACCTCCGCCCCCAGCCGCATGGGCCGCGCCGCCGCCGAGGGGCGGGCGGGCGAGTGCAGGGCCGGTGTGTCGCTCGCGGCCGCGAGGCGAGGGGACGCCGTGGTCCTCCGACGCTCGGTAGCTCAGCAGCGCTCACACCCCATGACCCTCAGCCGTCACCACAGCCCCCTACCGGGGGCGTGGCTCCGCGGCAATAACACGACTCCTGATTGGCCTCTCGTCACCATAGTTCCCCCGCACGGGGCGGGGCTCCGCAGCAATATCACGTCCCCTGGTTGGCTGAGCTCGGCCGACGGTTGCTCCACAACCGCCTACGGGCGCAGACGGCCGGGCTCTGGCCACTTCGCATGCTGCCTGGGCGGGTCCGGCTGCGGGCGCGGGAAAAGAGGAGGCGGCGGGGAACTGAGCGGCGCGTGGGTGGGCTCGGGTTGGGGGAGCGAACCCGGCGGCTGCCTGCCCCGCGGCAGGACGTGCGTCGGCTGGTCTGAGGGCCGCTCGGGTGCCTGGGACACGCATCTCCTGGCTGCACGCCGTGCGGGCCCTCGGGCGCCTTTCGTGCCCCTCAGTCGGGACGCCCCAGCGTTTGGGGTGCGCGACCCCCCAAGGGGCGGGGGGCGCGGACGCCGCCGCTTAAGAGGACTTATGCATTCGACAGGTGTGTTCAGGCTTACCTGGTAAGGCCAGCAGGACACAATTGGAGCAGTTACAGCGGTGGCAGGTCGCAGCAGCTTGGGGCTCCCGACCCTGTGCCCACCGCGAGGCCCCAGCTTGGGGGCCCCCAGCTCCTCGCTCGCCCCCCGCGAATGCGCGGGAACCTCCCTTCCGTCCCTCCCTCTCCACCTGGGTGTTTCGGATTAGACCCCACTTTTTTTCCCATCACTGTAGTGATGATAACTACATGTTTACACCTAGCTGAAGAACCTTTTCACAAGGATGTTTCCCCAGTGTGTGTTTGGTTAGACCCTTTCAAAATTCAGTCTTGCTTCCCTTCCCCAGGGCCTTGCTGTTCTGACTCGTTTCTGGTTTTTTTTTTAAGGAGCCTCATTTGTGCAGTAATTAAAGTGCTTATGTATACATGTAAAGTCCATAAAATGCATCCATACATGAACTTCACAAAAATCTAGGAAGGCAGGGTAACTGTTTTATAGATGTACAAACAGATCCACAGGCCTTCTGGATCCTTCTACTCCCCTTTTACTGTAGTAAAAGTGGTTTAATATGTAACTCTTTTCAAGGATAGTTGCACTTGAAAAGAATGCCAGATGGCGAAATAATTTTTCCATAATGGAAGCCTGTGGGGTAACTTTAGACGAGAACGCATTTCCATGGAAAGTTCTAATCAGAGAACGCATTTCCATGGAAAGTTCTAATCAGCGCCAGGAGGGTAGCTACTTTCTTCACACCTGATTAACATCAGGTAACGTGATTGGTACATAGTGATCTTTGGGGAGGAAGCCAGATGAATAGAGAGATCTCAGGTCATAAATATTTGAGTGCCAACAGGAAGCACGACACAGCAGAAAGATCTTCAACAGTGTTTCTTTCCCTTTTTGTGGGAATTAGAAGAATTAGTTTAGAACCCTAAACTAAGAAGAATTAGGGTTAGTTTTGGAGGGCAGAAGTCATGGGCGTGGATAGTGTGCACAACTAATGCCACTCATGCTTCCTTTAACTGAGACCAGACATCCCTATGTTAGAAAAAGTATGTGAAGAGAGAAAGCAGGGTCTGTGTTCACCTTAGGATTTATATGTATAAAGTCAATAAATGTGCATGTGTAAATATGGTACTTTCTGTGAATTATCACAGATTACTTTTAGTCGCCAAATTGTAAACTTTTGTGCGACGTTTTGGCTTGGAGACACTGAGAACTTAAGTTCCTCTTGTCCCGTTTAGCTCCAAACCCAGCTCTCTGACCTCCTTGGTTATTCTCTGTGCTCTTCATGCACCTCTCTTCCTGTGAGCAGTCGCAGAAAGAGAGGTCTCTGTTCCCCTCTGTTTTTCTCCCTTTTCCATCCAAACCTCTTAATTGATAATTAACCCACACCCTCGGCCTCTGCTTCCTTACCTTGTACTTTTGTAAACCTCTTGCAATCCGACTGCCTTTTCCTCCACTCCAGGTGGATGGTGCTTCTTAAAGAGCACAGCTGACCTCTTTGGCTGGGACATCAGCAGACTCTGTGGGAACACAGGTGTATCTGAAAAGACTGGTTCCGTTGATGCCTTCCTGGGGCAACACTTGACAAGGAGTTACATGCGGGATGACAGGGGAAGTTCATGGTCCTAGGGGGACATGTATCAAGGAGATCTAATTTAGCATGGAGACAAAGAAGGCTTCTCAGGTAAAGTGACATTTAAGACAAAGCTTGAGGGAGTTAGTGAGGCTGGAGCCTTCCCGGGGAGAGTAGCATGTTAGAGGCCTGAAGCTGAGAGAGCAATGTGGGCTCTGTGGAGCCCTGGAATGGGCCACACTTTTGTTTTTTAATTTTTTTATATGCATCCTGAAAGTATTCCTTTCACACATTCTTAAGTTGATGTTTAAATTTTTATCATAAATGTAAATAGTTACAAAAAAGTTCTGATAAGTTGTAAATGACATTTTGAAAATAAAGTGGTTACAGAAATCTTATGATACAAAATATGATACAAAAGATAAGAAATGGTACACCCAGAGACGGTGCTTATCACGGAACTTGCAGGACTGGAAGCTGCTCTGGGTGAGTCAGGGAGTGGGTGAAGAGTGAATGTGAAGGACATTGCCACATCACCCTGCACTAGTACAGACTTTGTAAACACTGTACACTTAGGCGACACTAAGTTTATAAAAAATAAAGTAATTGTGCTACAATGTTACAGCAGCTAGGATATTACTAGGCAATAGAAATTTGTCAGCTTCATTATAATTGTTATGCAGTGCATGACGTACTAGGAAAAATATAGGATAAAAGTTTTACAATCTTGAGGAGCATAAGATTTTACTTGGGATGATCCTAAGGCCAATAATCACCATAAAGTGTTGATTCTCAGGGGGTCTTAGAATCTCCACGGAGCATCTGACAAAGCAGAGCCGAATAAACATGCTGTTTCTGTACTCAAACTGCTGAATATTCAGCCTGGGTGCTGTGAGATCCCAGCTGGGGCCTTGGGAGCACCCAAATTGAATGCACTTGAACTGGGGCTTGGAACGTAACCTAATCAGTAGTATCGTAAGTTGACCTTCCTAAGTGGTAACAGAAGGGTGTTGATCTGAATGCAGCACCTTTAGAAGCAAAGGGAAACTGGCTTGTCTCTGTGAAAGAATGGAAAGTTCTTGAACAAGAATACCTCCTATCTATCCACAAACAACTTTGCTAAATTGTAGCCAGTACTCTGCCTCTCTTTGGTCAGTTCCCATTCGTGCCATTATTTTTCTATTTGTACAAATAAAGCAAGAAAGCATTCTTGTTGCAACAGATTTAAACAATACTCTGTTTCGAATATTGAATGAAATGAGGAAGCCTCCCTCACTTAGGCTGCCCCAGTCCTGCTTTCTCGCCCAGAGGGTACAGCTGTGTACTTTGCTAGTTGCCTTCCTGTGCATGTATGCGGTGGACGTTTGGCAGACCATTGCCTGGTTCCCCTCTTGAGATAACTGAGATGTTCGTGCAGAAAGCCACCCCTCCCGGGACTGCTCATGTGCTGTGGGGGAAGTTGCCCCCACGCACTCTCCTGGGATGCGCCATGATCAGTCGAGGGCAGTGAACCCCTCAAGCTTCCCAAGACCCTTTCAGGTGGTCCCAGGCAAAAAAGTACTTTCACGGTGATACTGAAATGTCATGTGCCTTTGTTAAATCTGCAGTGGTGGGTAAATCCGATAGCACCTTTGCCCACTTTAAGGGAGTGACACCAAAAGGTAATAGTGGCCACCATTCTTCATCACCCCATACTCTTGGCAAAAAACACTCATTTCACGTGAGAATATCCTCAATGAAGCAGCAAAAATATCTGATTAAATCTCAGCACCGGAGTACACATCTTGTTAATATTCTGTGCGACTAAATGGGGCATGCATGAGGCACACGGGATGCAAAACAAAGAACAAGAGCCCACTGGGGGGAAGACCTCTGAGCTTCCAGCGGAACGAACTCCTTTTTCATGGAACATCATTTTTACTTGAAAGAATAACTAGCAGCTAAACTAGTGATTCTGGCACACATTTTCTCAAACATGAACAAATTCTGTCGCTTCAAAGAAAACAGGTATTATTGCCAAATAATAAAATTTGAGCTTTCCGATGAAAATTTGAATTTTGGAAAATTTATATTGCTTCATGTGCTTGATACTTTCCCAGTTCTTGAAGACTTTTCTGATGAGGTCTGTGGTAATAGTAACAGACATTGTGATTTTTTCAATTTTGTATAATCAATGTGTCAGCATTTGGAAGATCCGCATAACTCAGTGAAACTATTTTCTATACAATGCATGATGTTTAAAAATCAAGCATGGGGGCAGGCCGGGCGCGGTGGCTCACGCCTGTAATCCTAGCTCTCTGGGAGGCCGAGGCGGGCGGATTGTTTGAGTTCAGGAGTTCGAAACCAGCCTGAGCAAGAGGGAGACCCCGTCTCTACTAAAAATAGAAAGAAATTAATCCAACAACTAAAAATATATATAAAAAATTAGCCGGGCATGGTGGCGCATGCCTGTAGTCCCAGCTACTCAGGAGGCTGAGGCAGAAGGATCGCTTGAGCCCAGGAGTTTGAGGTTGCTGTGAGCTAAGATGATGCCAGGGCACTCACTCTAGCCCGGGCAACAAAGTGAGACTCTGTCTCAAAAAAAAAAATCAGGTATGGGTAAATGGTTCTTTCAAAGCACAAGATGTGCCAGTGGGTTATAATGTAACTACAGAAATTTCACTGATGTAATTTCAAACTCTCTGTTGCTACTAACCTTGAAGAAATTACCAGTTCCTGAGTTTTTAGTGTAAG